TTTACCAAGCCCAGAGTGCAGCGCGTTACTAAGCCCAGAGTCCAGCGCGTTACGAAGCCCAGAGTCCAGCGCGTTACGAAGCCCAGAGTCCATTGCGTTACGAAGCCCAGAGTCCAGCGCGTTACGAAGCCCAGAGTCCAGCGCGTTACGAAGCCCAGAGTCCAGCGCGTTACGAAGCCCTAAGTCCAATTCATATACTGTTCTGCATTGCTGTATAAATGTATTGCTGGGATTTGTAGTCCCCCTACAAGCGGTGCCATTCTGCATTAAGTTTAAGCTCCTCTGTGCAGAGACTGATGTGACTGGTTCAGTGTGGCGGCGGTGTGGAGGGGGGGGGCTTTACACACTAAAGCTGTGTAAGGGGCCCCAAAATTTCTGATGGCTGCCCTGTAGATGTTATTAAGATTCTGAGGCTTTACATTTCTGACTGGTCAACTGGCATTTCCAAAAGGAGAATAGTAATGGCAGCCCATGAACTTGATGTGAAAATATTTCCTCTCAGAGACTTATAATAAATAAAGTAACAAAAATGTTAATACTTTACACAGAAGATGGTACCCTAAAGCGCTGGTGAATATTCAAACTTAAGTTTAAATAGAAATAATGAATAATAATAATAATAATTAAAGCTGAATTCTAAGCAGATTTAAAAACAACATTAAGGCCCCATTCACACCAGATCTGTTGCCTTGCAATAGGGATTTCCCGATACCAATACTAGTATCGTATTGGGGCTGATACCAGGCTTTTTCACGAGTACTTGTGCTCGTGAAAATGCCCCGATTCTTAAGGCCGATACCGGCCCTTTACATTTTCAAACCGCAGCTGCTGCTGAGTTCCTGCGTTTGTATGGACTTCAGCAGCCTGCTGGGGACTTGGCAGTAGTTGTCCCTGGCAATGCCTGTCCGGTTCTATATTTCTACCTCCTCCTTCCCAGCGCAGGCACAGCCATGCATAGTCCCACACAGCACAGTGCAGCTCCGGAGACAGCACCCACCCAATCAACTCTCCACAGCATAGCTACTGTCCACAGAGCCCTGCAGAGATCTATATGCCCCCCGGGAGAGATCGCAGCCTGGTGAGATCTATTGTGCTCTGGGGACATGTATTGTGCTCTGGGAACATCTATTGTGCTCTGTGTAGAGATGTCACCAGCTCACCAAAATCCATCTTTGGATAACAAAATGTTCATTTATTGAAGTTCCTTGTCATATAAACAAGTGCTTTCGGGGCCACACAGGGTGCCTTCATCAGGCTTAGCATTGTCATTGACATTTATTCTGTCCTGGGGACATGTATTCTGCTCTGGTGACATGTATTCTGCTCTGGTGACATGTATTCTGCTCTGGGGACATGTATTCTGCTCTGGGGACATGTATTCTGCTCTGGGAACATGTATTGTGCTCTGCGGACATGTATCCTGCTCTGGGGACCTGTATTCTGCTCTGGGAACGTGTATTGCGCTCGGCAGACCTATGTTCTGCTCTGGAGACCTATATTCTGCTCTGGTGACATGTATTCTGCTCTGGGGACATGCAATCTTCTCTGGGGACATGTGCGTTACGAAGCCCAGAGTCCAGCGCGTTATGAAGCCCAGAGTCCATCGCATTACGAAGCCCTAAGTCCAATTCATATACTGTTCTGCATTGCTGTATAAATGTATTGCTGGGATTTGTAGGCCCCCTACAAGCGGTGCCATTCTGCAATTAAGTTTTTAGCTCTGTGGGTGCGATAAGAAAAAAGTAGAGTATGCTCTACATTTTTTTCTGTGCAACGTAAGGGAACAAAAACAGATGTATTCACAATGCAACGGAAGTAAAAACATAGATATTTGTCCAAGCAGGACATGTTAATTAAAATAAAGACTGGCAAAAAAGAGAAGAAAAATGTAAAATCGCAAAAGAACAGTCAACGGACGTTGAAACTGCAAGTCAACGATCTCCTTCTGATTTTGATGTGAATGGGCCCTTAATGTAGTTTAAAAAAATAATTACACTTATAGTTTAATGCAATTTCTATCAGCACTTAGACTAGGAAGGGCAGCGCTCTATGCCAATCAGGCTCTGTTGCTTGCACACATGATAACAAGAAACATGCTGACAGAAGGAGAGAAGAAAGAGATGGGCTCAGTGTGCTGTTGCCTTTATTGTCCTGTCACAGTATGGTATGGGGAAGTGGCAAAGCTGTATTGCTTAACTGTCCCAGAGAAAAGGCAGGTCACCAAACTGGACCTGTAAGTCACCTGGCAGCTAAAACAGCTTCCACATATGTTTTTCAAATGCATGTTTAGCTCTAGTTCAGGTTTACAATTCACTGAAAGATTTAATAAATATGTAAGTATGCTTGAGGGGTATATTTGTGTACTAAATTGCCTATTCTACATACAATAAGTATTTAGTATTTTCGTAGCTGTGTTTATAAGTGATTATCTTCTCAGCTTTCAGATGAACTGTTTGCTAAAAAAGCTCTGACCATCTCAAACGTTGGAAACTTGGAGATGCTGGATCAGGTATGTAGAGTTGTTGTTTGGAATTACAAAAAAAAGGTAGAGGGGAGTGAAAAAAAGAAAGACAGAGAAAGAGAAAAAAGATTATGTCCATATTCATGCTTTTTTACTGACGTGTACTCGTCCATGAGTAACATCTGCTTTATTTTTCAACTTGCACTATTAAAATTACAACCAAAATATAATTGTCTGGCTGGAATCTTTAGAGAATAACAATGTATTAATATTCAACAATAGTATACTTCTTGACCTAGACTATTAGAGATAAAGTGAAGGAAGCCACCAAGACTGGCTTGGACATCGGTTACCGCCATGTGGATTCCGCCTATTTTTACCTGACAGAGGAAAGTATCGGAAAGGCCTTTCGGGAGAAGTTCTCAGATGGGGACATAAAAAGAGAAGATGTCTTCCACACAACTAAGGTGCATCTGCCTTTTTATTTGGGACAGGGTTCTTTTTGGTCCCTTCCAGTTCTTAATTTATATATTCTGCCTTTACCTTATTTTTCATATACATTTTATTTTCATTTACATCAACATACTAACTAAGTAGGTAAAATTGTATATGTGTCCGCATTTTTTTAAATACTGTGTTTGGGGGGACATTTTGCTTTAAAGCAGACCTTTACACCCTGTCAATAAAAAATCTCTGCTCTGCATGCTGATATGAAATCATCTCACATTGATTAGTTGAACATATTTTTCTTTTACTTACAATTGTTTTCACACTCCCTGGTCCTCTTGGGCATTAGTAATGTATTGTGCCTAAACGTTGCATCCTGGGAAGGTTACATCAGCTGTGCTTTGCTGGGAAGTCTCATCTGTACTCTCATGAGATCTCAGTGAAAGGTATTTTTCTTCCCCTGAGATGATGTACATGGTCACATAAATAAAAAAAATGGCCACTGTAAGAAGAATGGGGAGGAAAAGAGAAATAAGGAATACAAAGAATACAAAGCCGGCAATTATCTAGAAGTATCAGTTTGTAGATTGTCATTACTAAACATTTCTAAAGGTGTCTTTGTTGTCATTTCAAAGATTTGGGTGAAGTTCCTCTTTAAAATTTGACTCCATTCAAAAATTGAGTTTGATCCTCTACTTTGAGAAATGTCATTAGAAGTTGTTTTTTTGGTGAGTGGTTACCTAAAGATTCTGCACATTTTTTTCTGTGGTTACAGCTCTGGGGGACTTTCCACCAGCCCCACCTGGTCCGACCGGCTCTAGAAAGATCCCTTGCGTCCCTCCAGCTGAACTACGTTGACCTATTTATCATCCATTTTCCTATATCTTTACAGGTATGCATTTGCCATAGGAACTTTAAAAAAAAATGTTTTGCTATTATTACCAGGGTCGTCTTTAACGCAGGGCAAAAGGGGCAGCTGCCCAGGGCCCAATCATTGTTGTGGGGCCCAAAGATAAGATAAACACATGCAGGGCTGGCAGCCTCACCTGTGTAGGCAATGGGGCTTGCACCAGCCCTGCCCCCTGTCTGTGTACACAGCATTGGTGCGCTACAGACAGGAGGCTACATACAGCAGCATAGACGTGGCTCTGGGCTCCGCCCACTATCAACTCGACCACGCCCACTGCTCCCCGTACTTTGCTCTCCTGTATTGTCTGGGGCCCAGCTGGGAGCCCACACCGTGCCCTGAGATGTCACCCCCACTGTGTTTGTCCACTCCCCTCTCCCTTCACACCAAGTAAGTGCACAAATATGCCATAGTTTATGTATGCAACACATACATATGCAGAGCAGGTTCCTGATATTGCTTCTCTAGTTCAATCTATGCTGCTGAAGCAGGATTTAGAGTTTTTAAAGAAAATGTCATTATCAAGTTCTATGTATGGCTGCAGCAAAGCGGCCATACATAGAACATTTAATTATTTGCTAGGGCCAGGCCTCCGCCTTCTCACCCTTCACCGTCGGCCGATAGTCATGTAAGGGACCCGGGCGGGCCGCCCAGGCTGCCCGGGCCCATTACATGAGGATCGGCCGTACCTCCCTGATGGCTGCCCTGACTGTATCGCATTATAAAATGTTCCCTGTGTTCTGGGGCAGGAGGGGGCCTGGAGATACATTCAAGTCAATGGCCCCACAGCCACGTCTCCTGCCTTGCAGTGCATTTAACTGCACCAGAATCCCTGGCTGTCTCTCCTGGCTCTCTCTCTCCTCTCGGTCTCACCTGTCTGTCTCTCCTCGCTCTCTCTCCTAGCTGTCTCTCTTTGCTCTCTCCCCTAGTTCTCTCTCCTGGCTTTCTCTCCTCTCTTTCTCTCTCTTCCGTCTGTCTCTTCTCGCTCTCTCTCCCAGCAGTCTCTCTTTGCTCTCTCCCCTGGCTGTCTCTTCTCGCTTTCTCTTGTGGCTGTCTCTCCTTGCTCCCTCTGGCTGTCTCTTCTTGCTCTCTCTCCTGGCTGACTCTCCCTGCTCTCTCCTCTGGCTGTCTCTCCTCACTCTCCTCCCTGGATGTCTCTCCTCTCTTTCTCCTGGCTGTCTCTTTTCTCTCTCTCCCCTGGCTTGTCTATTCTCTCTCCCTTGGCTGTCTCTACTCACTCTCTCTCCCTTGGCTGTCTCTTCGCTCTCTCTCCCCCTGGCTCTCACTCCTCGCTCTCTCCCCTGTCTGTTTATTCTAAAAAAAATTGCAGTGTGGTGCTAGTGTTGCCCCACCTCTTCCGTATGCTACTGGTAGGGCCAGGGAGGGGAAGGGGTGATGGTGAGGGGGGCCCAATACATTTTTTGCCCAGGGTCCAATCAGTATTGAAAACGGCCCTGATTATTGCTGTAACTTTTGGAAAGCTATAGAATAATGCGATTGTATGTCAAGCCAAAAATTTGTTTTCTTCAGTAGTTTTTGGTTGAGTGGGGTAGTATTAGTAGTATTAGAACCTCTGTCAGATTTTTGCTGATACATTGGTGGCAGCAGGGCCCTGTAAATGCACTCCCAGTTGAAATAGCTTCCAGATTCTAAGCTTTTATTCCCTTCTTGAGGATGAAGCTAAATTAGAACAATCTATGCTCATTTAGCTTAATTTGAGGGAAGAGCAAACTATTTTACACTGTATGGGGTGATTATAAAATAATCAGCTCTTATTCATATGGCTAAATGTTTCTTTTCACTAGAGGAAAAACCTGTTGCTGTAACTGTTTATAAAGTGTTAGCTGGCATTACGCTTTACTTTGTTACTTAAAGTTCATTTAAAAACTACATGTCCATTTAAGACTACCTACAGTGAGATTTTACTGCAGAAGGAGCAGGGTTGCCACCCTGTTACAGGTAATAAAAAAGTAACAGATCTACTGGCAGGTTCCACAGGTAAAACACCTATGTTACAAGAAGGACTCAGAAAACCAAAGACTGGTGTGTTAGGGCCCGTTCGCACCAAAATCAACAGAGGTCCATTGACTTTCAACCTCCATTGACTTCTGTTGTGTTTCGTTCTGGGTTTTTTTTTGGCATTTTTTATTTTAATTAACATGTCCTGAGTGGACAAACTTTTATGTATTCTGTTTTTACTTACATTCCATTGTGTTGACATCCATTTTTGACGTGTTGCGTTACGGTGCTCTGAAAATAAGTAGTGCATGCTCTACTTTTTTTTTCAGCACACTACAACGTATCGCACACATTCAAACCCATACATTTTCCCGGTTACGTTCCATTGGTATCTGTTGACATCCGTTGAAAAGGCAGCAATGTTGTAAGATAACGTGACTATGATAATTAATGATTATTGTTAATACATTTTAGCCAGGAGATGACCTATTTCCTGTTGATGAGAATGGCGTGTCCTTGGTGGATGATGTTGACCTTCGCCAAACCTGGGAGGTGAGTAAACCTGCTTCTTACTTATAGGACTGTCGGCATGAATAAATGACTGACTTGTCACAATATACAGCAACAGTTCATTTAAAAGAAAAAAGAGTCTGCATCTTGCTTTCTTTAAAGCAAAATCCTTGTGCTCCAGTCCGGTAACTTTGCCTAGGTTGAATGATGTCCTCATCTACTGCAAGCAGTCACAAGAGTGAGAGGCTGCAGCAGGGGCTCATCCATGTCAAACATTGTGAACGCAGCCAAAAGCTGCAGGGGCTCCAGGATATACTGTACATTTTGTGTCAAAATCTCAGTTCAAGGAGTAGATGGTGACCCTGGATGATGCCTGAAGAAAGAGAAATCCTTCTGGAGAGAAATTAGATGAAGGCATTGTCAGGGGGAGTACTATGATCTCTGTTAGAGTTAACAAATACCTGGAAGTGTCATACTGACACATTACTTTACATGAATGAACATGAAATTGTGAGAAAACATATTTGATTCCGGGTCCACTTTAAGGGAAGAGTAATGTGTATGGAGATTATTTGTTCTGAACAGATCCCATTGAACATTGTGCAATATGATGGCTTTGGCTGTCTTGTGACATGAGACTTATTTAATTGTTTTGCCTTATTGTTCATATTCTTCCTAAAGCGATTATGTAATCCCAGCAGTGTGTTTTGGAAGAGAAAAATATTTATCAGATGTCTTGGACGGAGGCCATATCCAGTTGCGAGTGGTTAGTTACCTATGAGGCTTTTCATTTCCTCTCTTTTTCAGGCAATGGAGCAATGTAAAGATGCCGGACTCGTCAAATCCATTGGAGTGTCCAACTTCAACCGCCAGCAGCTGGAGATGATCTTAAATAAAGCGGACCTCAAATATAAGCCCGTCTGCAATCAGGTAGATGTGGGAGAGGATTTCCATCTCTGGATCCCATGGGCACTAAATTGGGTCGCCTGTTATACACAGAACATCTTCTTCTTTTACTGGTCTAAGCCTGGCTAAGAATATATTGGCAATGTGTAAATATGTTATTGTGAGGTGACTGCATTTCTAAGATGAGAATAAAAAATGGGGAAAAGCTGCCTGTAGGACCCCTTGAGAGAAGGTCCCTTCCTATGTGGAGTGTCAATCTGTTCTCCTCTGATAGGATATAAAAGGAGAGTGGGGCAGAGTTAGGAGTGGAATATGCCCCATGGAGAAGCACGGAGTTAAGTTTTCCCCATCCATTTGGACTGAAGACGTGACCCTGCAACTCTGCGTGAGTAACCCATTTGGGGACTTTGCCTTATGGAGCTTGTGCCATTAATACCATTTTTACCAGTCTTCTATTACATTGAGCTAAAAAAAAATTAAGTAGTGTAGTGAGGTTTGGTATGCCAAGTGTTTGCCCTGTGTCCTGAGACAAGGAGTGGGTGATGACTCATTTTCCTGCGGACTGTGCCCGGTAAGAAGGGACTTGGGGTCCCTATGTTGTGTTGACAGGAGTAGCAGGGAGAGAGCCATTTATGGACTGATCTGAGGCCTGTCATGGAGGAGGGAACTATCCTTTAGTTAATGTGTTAGTTGGTGTTAGTTGGTGTTAGTTGGTAAAGTGAGCTCTGGATTTCATGTATAGGTCTGCTGCAAGTTTGATCTAAGATAATGTTGACTATGATATATGGTGTTATATTTTTATGTCATATTCATATTCTTGTTCTTAGGGTGAAAAGTTTAAAAGAGGAAAAATAGCTTCCGTTCTTGCTTGAAACTCATAAATGTGTTTAATTACAAAGTTACAAATGATTACAAAATAATAGCATAAAACTAAAGTATAGAAATATGTAGATGTATTAATAAGTTCTTGTGTATGTGTTTAAAATGTTAGTCTCATGTCTGTGTGTCCCTCCATGACCGCGTGTGTCCGAGTGTGTGTCCAGCAAGCCAGCGTGTGTGTCAGTGTGAGTCCTTTGTGCCCCAGACCCCCCCCCTCCTCTCCGGCCATCTAGGTCCAAGTGTAATCTGAAACTTTAGACAAACCATAAGGTTTCAAGGGGGATGGGAATAGAGGATTCTTGTGTTGAATGCAATAATACGTTCTAATAAACTATAGAATGTTACAAAGACCAATATTTATACATAATACAATGTTCTTTCTTATATGAATAACTTAATCAAGAAATATTGCAATAAAGAGATATAATACATACTTTGTAAACACTTCATAAACTTTGATTTAGAATATTTCACAGTCTTTCTTGATAATAAGGAATGTGGGAGGTTCTAAGCATTTCTGCTTGATCAGTAACAGATGTATAGCAAATACAACCTGAACCACAGACTCTAATCTCATTGCGTATATTCCCATACTGAACAAATGTATATATAGAAAATCAATCATCACTTATGTTCATCACATGCATACATAATCCCTATATGAATAATACCCTTTAACAGATAACTCCGAAGTATCTGAGAAACTGCTTGTCAGCCCAAAACCCATAGAGGCTGGCCTTACATGCCACTTTGGCATATAGATGAAGGCCTACAGTGCCTAATGGTAAAGTTGATATATGCTCAATTAATACACTCACTTAGCAATTTAGGTCATTAGTCTTTTGGTAAGTATAAACAAGGTTATGGGCTAACATCTTAAGAGATGTAGGGATGACAGTCCTTCCTGGCATGGATTACATGTATTCTTTCAGATCCTGCTTCATGTTAACATGATCATGCAATTTCTGAAGATTAGTCAGCTATGTTGCAAATCTCTTGTTCTGCCACATCCCAAATGTGTTCCATCAGATTCGGTGACTGGCCTACCGTCTATGTGCTTCAGCGGATATTGAGATTCATCAGCCCAGGATACATTTTTCCATTCTTCAACTGTCCAGTTTTGATAATCCTGTACCAATAGATGCCTCAGTTTTCTGTTCTTTGCTGGCAGTAGTAAAACCAAATGTGTTCTTCTGCTGGTGTAGCTCATCCGCCTCAAGGTTCCTAGGTGGTGTGCATTCAGAGATGGTTTTACTGCTCACAACAGTTGTAAAGAGCAGTTCCTGTAGCCGTTCTGCCATCTTCAACCAATCTGGCCATTCTCCTCTGACCACAGGGAATTTCCACCACAAAACTGCTGATCAATGGCTGTTTTTTTTTGTTTTGTGCAATGTTCTGAGTATTCTTTAGAGACTGTTGTGTGAGAAATCCAAGGAGAACAGCAGTTGCAGAAATAACTGACTGGCACCAACAATTATGCCACAATGCCAGGTCAAATTAACTAAGATCACATTTTTTCCCCATTCCTACTGACCTTTATGATTTTATGCATTGTGCTGCTGCCACCTAATTGACTGATTAGATTATTTAAAGGAGTAAGCAGATGTCTAGGTGTTCCTAATAAATTCCTTGGTGATTGTGTACATACCGGTAGCTGCAGGTCATTTATTGATGTGCATAAATAAATTGATCCCCATCATCTTTATTTTTGTAAACATTTTTTTAGCATGTTAGTTTTTATTGTGGAAAAGAGCGGTACAGATATGAACAAATATTGACATGCATTGTACTTGTATATCAGGTACCCAGATAGCAAGGATAACTTGCCACAACCTTGTGTCAGGGTTAAATTGTAATTTTGTTAACTTGCTGCACATATTCCTGGCAAGTTGTAGACTTGCAGAATACTTGGAGCACAAGTTCTAGGTGACACTTTTTGAATTTGTAGCAAATTTGCTTGGCAAGTCTACAGCAAGAGTCCTGCAGGTCTTAGCAAGAGCTCTGCAAGCTCGCTGGTCTGGAGACTTGCAATGCAGACTTGCTGTAATTGTGCAACAAAATTGTGAAGCTTGGCAAGTCTGCAATAGTTTAGCAAGTCATTTTCAAACTTGCAGCACAATTTCTTGCTATCTGGGTAGTAGTATGCAGACTGCAATCTAGACATGCAATGTGGGATATGTCCCAGTAACAAAAGTGACAAACTAGATCACAATAGTGAACAAACCCATCATCTTTATTAATGCATCACAAAATACCATTGCATTTGTAACATGAGATTACTTACCTCTCCTTGGTCCTGCCAAGTAAGCTGGTGGATGTCCTCGCCTCTTTCCTTTTCCTCCTTCCACCCTCACAGGTGGGGTCCTGGGTTGGCTCCACAGGATGTCAGAGTAGAGTTTTAGCCAGCGTGAGAAATTCCACTCTGCTTTGAAACCTAATTTAGTAAAAACTTTGATTCTAGTAATATTCTAATAAATCCGGGAAAGGGTTTGAACTAGATGTGCACCGAAATGAAAAATGTAAAACCGAAAAAAAAACTAAATGAAAAAAAATGTCGGGCCAAAACCGAAAATGTTTTTTTCTAACTTTTTTCATATGTTTTAAAATATTTTATTATTATTAATTTTTAATAAACGTTTAAAACTTTTTACATTTTACTTTTATTTATTTATTTATATTAAATATTTGTATTTTTTACTTTACTTTTGGGTGCGTCTAAACAGATCCCTGATATTTCCCTTTTAAAATAGAAGAAGAGATTGCGAACACAGAGCCCTCAATCTCTTTTTCTGCAGCCCCTGTTATAAATGAACAGGAATCCTCTATATCACTGCAAGTTAAAGTATACATTCTACAGAACCATGATAAAAGGTGGGTAATAAATGCATTACTTTTGTGTTTTAATGAAAACAGGTGGAATGTCACCCATACCTCACCCAAGAGCCAATGTTGGAGTTCTGTAATGCTAATAATATTGTTCTGGCTGCCTACGGGGTCCTGGGATCCCCCACAGGAACAAAATGGTGAGAAAATATAACTACATTCCATTTCATAACTTTCTGGCCATTTTTTGTCAAGTAAATATTAAAGCTTCAGAAAACTAAGTAACATTAACAATACCTTTCTCATAGTAGTTCTAAGATTAGTATTGCTTACTCGTCATTTAAATTACATTTGTGTTATGGGTTTGTAGGGTGGATTCGAATTGCCCTGCTCTCTTACAAGATCCTGTCCTGACTTTGATTGGAGAGAAATACAATAAGAGCCCAGCACAGGTGTCTATCCGATACATTATTCAGAGAGGATGTGTGCCTATAGTGAAGAGCTTCAATCCTGACCACATGAGGCAGAATCTCCAGGTAACACAAACATTGTTTAATATAGCAAAAACAAAAGCAGGCAAGTGTAGCTTCACCTTTAGCAACCCCCCTTCCCTTAAGGCAAGCAGGCTAAACTGGTAATAGTTTGCCCCATGACTTATTACAAGAAACTATATACTCTGGCTGTAGAGTGTCACAAGTGGACCCAAGGTAGAAAACAGATATGGAATTTAAAGGATGGAGGGCACTCTGGTGGAGCAAGGACAGGTAGCAGACAGAAGGCTAAAGCCCGTGACACACTGCACACAAAGCCGTACAGAGCGAAGCAAAGATGTCCGGCAGGTAGCTTTGCGGGCAGTGTGTGAGCTGAGTGCAGCCAGATGATTACATGACACACTGCTCGCAAAGGCAGCGTGCCACCGCTTCGCGTGCAGTGTGTCACAGCCTTTAGTCTGTGGATGTTTCAAAGGTCTGAGATGTTTGCAGACAGTGAGTGTATCTGGGAATGTAGTAAAGGTCGGGGCAGGCAGCAGACAGTAGGGGTATCCGTGAATGTAGCAAAGCATAGGAACAGAAACAGACAAAGTGATCAGACACACTTGGTCCACAGGAAATGCTTTCACAAGCACAGAGTCCCAGGCTGATAAGCTTTCAATAAAGCACCCCCTGCACTGGGGCCAAACCCAGAGCTGGGGTTGTATGGCCAAACCCATTATTCAGAAACTGACAGGGAAGCTGGGGGGAAGTACAAAGTGGCAGTGAGTGAATCCTTGCAGGAGCAACCAGCACGCTAGAAAAGAAGAAGAGTGGCACAGCATTCCCTTGCCCAGCCATGATGTAGGCCACCACTGGGAGCTGAGACCCTATTGGCTAGCAACCAAGATAAATGCTGCTGCTGGGAGGGGAGAATGCTGGAAGCAGACAGTGAGGGCAACCGGTGGACAAGCAAGTATCCATGCTGTCTTTTTAAAAGTATATTACCTCTTGGGGTCATTTGACATCCCAGGACAATGGCAGTTTGTAGGTTAGAATTCTAAAACAATGCCACACCAAAACATTGAGTTCATACGATGATATACTAAAGTGTTAATGATATCCTGGAAAGATCTGAAAGCCTACAATGTCAACATACCCATGAATTCTGGATTGTCAAAATTTAGGGGCTGATTTATGCTGCTAGATGGAGCTGAGGAGCATAAGAAATTGCTTTGCTCCTCTAGCTCCATCTAGCAGCTGTAATGCCATGCAGTTGGCATTTGCCCAGCTATATACTGGATGAATCTTTTATAAAGTAGCCTCTTAGAATTCATTTAACTGTCTCATCAGGTTTTTGACTTTCACCTCAGCTCAGAAGACATGGATGTCATTGCTAAGCTAAATAGAAACATGCGCTACTGGAAGTTTACAATGTGAGTATATCATTTCTGGATCTGGAGAGTGGTGAGTTCCTGGATGTGTCCCTGCCCACACCACTATCCCTTAAACAACAGGGGTGTACATACTGGAGAATTATACCCCCGATATTCTCTTGTTCCTTGGGGACTCTATTGGTGATATTATGGAAAATGTGACAGGAGGAGCTGGAACACACAAAACTCCCAAATGGAATGGAACGGAACAGTGTAAGATGTTGTAGCAGCAATATCTCGCTTGTTAGAATATCAAGGCATAGAAGAATCCAGGAGCTGATTTAGCCCACCAGATTCCATATCTAACTAAAATATCACATTTTGGTGTATTGACCCTGTGAAACAATATTCCCTTTTCCTAATGGACCAGAGTTAGTTAACTTTCTTCTAAACCATCCCTGTGCTGTAGGAGGTGCCTTTTGTGACTTTTCTTTTCTTTCTTTTTTTAAACATAGGTGGGCAAGCCATCCAAATTATCACTTTAACAGAGACTAAACCTGGAACCACGGCCCACGGCATTGACAACTGACTCCAGCAACCAATCCATCTTCATAGAAGTAACATGGTCAAAGTTGTAGTTGGCATTTAAAGGCCCTCAAAAAATGTATACTGTATGCATTTAGTATATACGCCGCATTGGCTTCTAAGCAATAACATTTACAAAATATATCAAAATTGTACTGATTGTACTGTTTTTGTTATCAGTGCCACCATAAATGGCATATGTGTCCACTTAGAACTCATGATCATTAAAAAAATAAACACTGGTCCATACATTTTTCTACAGATACTTTGCTTTGTATTTCCATTGAACCACAAACATATATTAGAAGAAAATCACTTATTTTCTTATTGCCTTTCTGCATCTTCCCTGATAGAAGCCGATTTATGGGCGTTACTGTTGCTGATCTCAGGTGTCACTGCCCCCTTGCTTATTGAGCATGCCGGTCCATTACTACAATGCGCAATGGAGCATGTATATCTCCATATGTAGGCTGACAGGAGTAGTGACAGCAGCATCACTACTCCTGTTAGTTAGCTGCTGGAAGTGGCTGGATAGCATTGGTGCTCTTTTAATCAGTGTCTGCTCCTCCAGCTTATATCACTGCTCCCCCATTCTCGTATGTGCTCTCTCCTGCCAGAGCTGTTCTGCTACCTCCTGAAACCTGATCACCCAGATTCGTCTCTCCCTCTCTGATATGCACCCTCCACTCCAGTATGCCAACTTCAAGCCCATGTCACTGATTCCAGGTACTATCGACAAGTATCTGGTACTGCCCATTTCTGCTGCCTATTGTTCTAACAATTGCGCCGGTGCAAGTAACCAGTGCTGTGCAATGTCCCACCTGGGTGGCCAACACTGTGGTCACAGATGTGTCTGCCAAGGGAGATCAGCTCTGCAATATGTTGTGTTTATGGCAGTGTTCTTCAGTACATGCTCTGTATTGTGATGAAGTTACAGTGTGTTGGGATGCAATCCTAGTGATGGCGCTTGTCTCTGGCAAGTGCATAGAGCCAGAGATCAAAGCTTATTTGGTATTTGTCTCCTTAATAGCTGCATGGTTGAAGAGAGGTGGGGAGGGGGCTCATTGTCGACCATGCTAGCTCCGTTAATACCCCACCTAAAAAGATGGGACAATGTGCTACATGCACTTTACCCGCTTGGGGATAGGGGCAACTAAAAACAAGTAGATGAGACTTCTTTAAAGCTGAACTCTAGGCAGATACAGGCACACATTAATGTCGCTCTGTAATCATTATCACATAATTAAATATGTTTTTAAAATGCAAGTGGTGTAAGTACATGAATTTGAAGTGGTATCAGATCCCCCGCACAGCAGAACATGAGTCTGAGAGAGAAAAGAAGAACAATTAAGCTATCAGCTGACAAGAAGTAGGCTGATATGAAGAGAAAGCAGAGTGACAGATAGATATGCCTATCATTGTGCTGCTTCTACTTTCACTATACAGTCACAGGCTGGGTCAGATCCAGGACAACCAGGGCTTAGAGGAAGTTAGTTGATTTATGCTGGCCATTAGATTGTAAACATCTAACAGGCAGAACAACTGTGGGATACATCTCTGGATTGAAGGCAAATATTCCAACACAAGCTGGTTTTGTTATCTTACCCTTTAATGGGCTAATCATTTTAGTTTGCTATTTTGGCAAGAGTCCTGCTTAAAAGTGTATGCCCAGCCTTTTTTGTTAGTTTTGGATAGATCCGTTGGGTTTTTACTGCTATCAGTGACTCACAGAGAATTCCCCTTACTTTCTGTCCTGCTGAGAAAGACACAGACAAAAACAAAAATCATTTTCCCGTACTTCATGTCTGGCTATACTGTTGTCTGTAGAATAGAAAGTGAGTGTAAAGCTCTTTAACTGAGCCCTGGATACCAGTACAAACATGGCAGGGGTTCTAATTATTTTCCACCTGAAAGGGTTAGACTTGACATGCACTTTAATGGATTGTGCATGGAATGCATTAACAGCTTGAGCCCTCACCCCATAAGGACACCATGAGGGCACACAGACTGGAGTGGAGGAGAGCTGGAACCCCCAATGGGTTGTTATTAATGTTAGGGAACCCATTAAGGAGATTTGTTCACACCTTATGCCCTTCTGACAACCAAAATCAGCAGGGAAAATCCAGCAAAAGTTATAACTCCTGCACACGCTACTAAAGACTTGTTTATGTTTCTGTCTCTTCCTGTGACCCTACTACCCCAATCCCAAACAAAGTGAAAAGTACTCTCTACAATGGTATAGAGATTCTAACCCTTTCCCGCCCTACGCAAAGTTAAACAGAGTTTGGCTTAACTCCCATTGGTGGCTTAAAAGCACAGAGAATTGTGAGAGCACGTGTGAGTGTGCAGTCAGAAGACACATCGTGACTAAACGTTGGTAATTATTTTCCATGCAGATTCCCTGACATCTCATTATGTGCAGAAGTGTATCCTTCTTATTATTTGTAATGCTTTTCTATATATTGTCACATTTTAAAATATATTTAGGTGGACGTTCTGGAAATTGTATTGTTCTTTGAGCCTAGTACAGAGAAACATAGAAGAGTGAGAAAAAAAAAGACCATCCAGACCAGGAGTCCATCTAGTTTGTCTTTGTTTAGGGGGTGATGGCAGTATACTTTTTGTGTAAATATAGACCAACATTTATCCCAAGCATGTTAATGGAAACCCTGTAACCAGATCATTTATTTCAACAACAAACTTTCCATATGTTAAGTATGTTATTTACTTGCAAAAGTCTCCCTTGTGTAGACAGACGAAACCCCTGAGACAGACTGCTTCAATGCTGCCCACTTGGATGTGAAGTCAACAGCCCCAGTAGACTCTGATAGGAAAGTGACGCTCTATAGCAAGGGTTGGTGATCTCAGTGTGACAGTAACAGCAGGTTTGATCCCACTGTACTGTCACCAGTGTGTGACGATACCCAGTTTTCATCCTACCATGCCGTCACCAAGATGTGACGATACCACTCTCAGCCTCACCCTGCACAGAAATCTTGCAGCTCACAGGACTATAATGTAAGGCCAGCAGACTGAGAGCGATCGTCACTGGAGTTTGGTTAACTCTGCGATTAACCCCCTTACACAGAATAAGCTGCAATTACGTGTTTTAATGGAAACACACACTGTTCCTAGCAAATGCTGTGACAATTACAAAATGTAAGTGTGAACGAATATGGATCATATCAAGATAATGTCTTTTCCTATGTTTGAATTTGTTTCATTTGCTTCCTAGCTTTGTGACTTTCCTTACTCAGCTTTAGCGTTGCTACGCTTAACCAAGATGTATCCTGTATCCGGAAGTGCGCCGAGGATGCATGAAAAGAATGCCGAGGGAGGATGCTACAGGCAGAAGATATCTTTGACTAACCAATTAGCGAGAGACACAAGACTTTAACTAACAGCTCCTCTAGTTTACCCAATAGTACAAGACATTTAGAGATAACAGATGTGGGCATATGTGTGACGAACACTCTCATGTTATCTGTGTATGAAAGAGAGAGAACGCCCTGAATAAAGCAGAATCGTCATAGACCTTAACCCTGTGTTTGTGATTTTTCCGGTGCACCGCATACAACAAATTAGGAACAGCAGCAGATATCTTGTGTGAACCCAGTTGTGGTTCTGATCCATTTCAGCTGGCGCCCAAAATCGTGGGGCCCTGGGTTCCAATCCAAGAGCAGCCGTGAGACGTGGACGGGGCTGGGAACCAGACAGACCAAGGGGGCCAGCGCAACCCTGAGAGTACGGTAGGCATATTTCACTGTACTACTTGTTTCTGTCCGATCCACTGTCACGTCCACTTGGCTGTTCGAGGACGGCAAAAGGCAGGTAAACTTTTCCTTGCCCAGGGCTGTTTTGCTAAGAACCTGCATAAGAGATTTCTGCTGGCTGTGTGTCGTTATCTGTTTGTGTGTCTGCGGCTCTGGACCGAGGCTGATCCGAGCTAAAATAATTTACTACAGGCTGGGTATTCTGACCTTGGTGAGCTGTCTGCCCCAAGAAAGACGGAACCCTGTAGTGGGCATCTACGGACGGAAATCCGGGGGGTGGCGTGTCGGTTCCCCCGAGGCGAACTTAGTCGGTCAGCCAGTGGTTCAGTTCCACGGTGTAATGTCATGTTCTAAATGTGTTTGTGGGTTAATGTTCACTGTGGATGAAACTAATTGGGGATTAGTGAAAGTAGTAGAAGGGGGGTATCCCCCCACATAAACTTGGCCATCAGCCTGTCGTCCCAGCGATTCCTGACATCTTGGTGCTAAGGGTTAATGTTCACTACCCAGTGAGGGGGAGTTTCGGGAAAACCCTCTTTGAAATAGAGAAAGCGGAGGGGAGGGGAGGGAGGGAGTTGAAGCAGTGAGAAAACTTCAGAAGTTGGCAAAAGTATGTGGATTTAAACATGATATTGTCCGTCTTCAGCCAGAATCATGGCGTACCCTGATAAGGGAACATAGAGGGAAGTTAAATGATAAGGGTTTGATGAAAATAGCTGAAGCCTGGTTTCGTACAGCCAAGGCTCTCCACAAGGAGGGATGGACAGAGGAAATAGTTAAACGAAATGATGAAATTATGTATGTGTATAACAAAGCTGATAATGTGTCTGAACCACCGCCCTATGATAGCGGCGACTGGACAGAAAACTACTCCAAACCACGCCCTTCGTCTAACGCCCCATCATCCGTGGCCCCTCCCTCCCAGGTCATTATGACGTCTACCGGCCCTGGTGGCTTAACCACGCCCACCCCTTTGACACGCTCCGGTGGTGGCCATCTTGGTATACCCAGCCAACTCCCCGGAAGTCCCGCCCCTACTACATCCGGTGGCGGCCATCTTGGTATACCTTTCATGTCACTTCCTGCCCAGCCCAGTGTACTTCCGCCTCCTTCTGGTGGCGGCCATTTTGGTGCACCAAGTCAGTCAGCATCCGGAAGGCCTATTAAGCCCATGTACCCAGTCCTCCCGGTGCTGAATCCCAATGGCTCCTACCACACTGCGGTGTTCCCTAATTTACTAATGGGAGATGCATAAACGCTGCCGCCTGCCCTACCTTCGTCTGAGGCCCCGAACATAGCTTATGACGATGTGGCCAGCGCAGACTATCCCAGGGCCGTGCTCGCAACTCACGTGGACCTGTTTGAGCTTCAGTTGTGGCCTTGCTGGGGGAGGTTCCCCAGCCCACACACACACACACCTTTCGCCTGCCATTGGCCCTCGGGAAGGGAAGCCTCCTGGTCGCCTCGGAGACCAGGGGGCGGACTCACACACCCTGGCTATAAAAACCTGGCCAGAGCCCTGGCTCAGTGCTGAGTTATTCCACCTCTTGGTGTGACATACGAAGCTCTCCTCCTATGTGCCTTGCTGCCTGTTACCTAAACCCTCTGCTGACTTCCCGTGTACCGACACTGGACCGACTATCGCCTCTGACCCTTGCTGCCTGCCTCGACCTTGGATTGCACTCGACTACCCCTTTGGATTGCCCTTCTGTTACCTTGCCTCCGGACTTTTTAGGCTGCTTCCTGCAAGCAGGTTCCCTCCGTGCTGCTTGCCCGCGGACGCTCCCGACAACATCACACAAGAGAAGGGAGAATCAGTCGAGAAATACCACACCCGACTTATGCAGGCCTTTTCTGACCTGGGGTTTTCCCAATTCCAGAGGGCACATTCCCAAATGCTCTCCTCTGCCTTTGTTGCGGGCCTCAGAGAGGACATTCGGAAAGGCCTGTTACAGGCCCGACCAGAATACCGATCCATGACCATGGCCAACTTGCTGTTAGTAGCAAAGGGGCTTGAAAGCCAGAAAACCCAGAGGAAGCCAGCCCCAGTCATGATGATCGAGGACGAGGCCTGTTGCCGTGGATACCCACCGCCTCCTCCCCTACCTAGCCGGAGGGAGAGGATTACCTGTTATAACTGCGGGAGACTAGGGCATTTCAGGAGGGAATGCAGGCCCCCCCGCCGCCCACGGCAACAAGAGGAGGGAGCTGCGAATCATGCCATGGCTCGCTTCACTTCCCACTAGGACAGGGGCAAACCCGTGTTCCCCTCCCCTCTCATGGCAGCGTCTTCAGGGGAGGGAGGACCCTAGGGAAAATCATCCTACCAGTACAGGGGATACCCACCACCTTCCTTATTGACACGGGTGCAGCCAGAAGTGTAGTTAAGCAACAGGCCTGCCAGATTATTCTTTTCTTTCAGACATAGATGTGTCCTGTGTGGGTGTAGATGGGGTACCACGCCGCAATCCACTCACCAAACCACTCCTAATAGGGACATATCCCAACTTGTTGGTCAGATTTGTGGTGTCCTCTACCTGTCCCCTTAACTTGCTTGGTGCAGATGTGCTATCCAAACTCCAGGCCTCCATCATCTTCACACCAGAGGGAGGAGTGACTTTACATTCACCATTGTCACCTAAGGATTCTTCAGCCCTTTGCTCCCTGCCCCTGATGCTTTCACTTCATCAACCACATGGAAAACCCACCATTTCCCCTGACATTCTGAATAGGATCCCTCAGGAGCTCTGGGCCTCAGGCCCAGAAGACATCGGACACCTGGATGTACCCCCGGTGGTGGTGAAACTTAAAGAGGGAGTGACCCTCCCAAGGAAACCTCAATACCCACTCAAACTGGCCCAATTTCCACCCATGTGGACGCACTGGTGAAAAGTGGGGCCCTGGTACCCTGCACCTCTCCATGCAACACACCCCTCTTCCCAGTCAAGAAGAAGACCCCAAAGGGTGAACCAGAGAAATATAGGATGGTGCAGGATTTGAGGGCAGTAAATGAAGCCACAGTGCTGGACACCCCCATCGTGCCAAACCCACACACCCTGCTCTCGGGTATCCCACCCTCCGCCAAGTTCTTTACAGTGATTGATTTGGCAAATGCCTTCTTCAGTGTGCCCCTGGACTGCAACAGCCAGTATCTATTTGCCTTCACACACGAGGGCCAACAATATACCTGGACAGTGATGCCACAGGGAGCCCAGAACTCCCCAAGTCAGTTTGCACATGCTATGTCTAGGATCCTGAGCACGTGGCAAGACCTCCACCCGGAAGTGACCCTGCTCCAGTATGTGGATGACCTGCTCTTATGTGCTGACACCCTGTCCCTGGCTGAAGAAACTGCTGAGAGTCTGCTTACATATCTGGCTAAAAAGGGGTGTAAAGCTTCCAAAGACAAACTTCAATGGTGCTCTGAGAAGGTTATATTCCTGGGCCATTGCATCTCTCAAGGCACCCACCATATCACTGAAGACCGAATCATGGTGGTCCAGAATATTCCATTGCCCAAGGTTGCCAAACAATTACATGCCTTCCTTGGTCTAATTTCCTATTGCAGATCATGGATTCCTGATGCCTCCATCCTCATGCAACCATTATATGACGACCTCAAATCCATCCCATTCACCCTGACTGACGAATCTGTGGAAAACTTCATGCTGCTTAAACGAGCAATTTCCACAGCACCAGCTTATTATGATAAACCATTCAAACTCTTCGTGTCAGAAAGACAAGGACATGCATCAGGGGTCCTCGCACAGGTTCATGGGGGCAAGACTAGACCAATAGGATACTACTCCTGCCGGTTGGACCCAGTGGCCAGAGGGGGGCCTGCCTGTTTGAAGGCTGTGTTTGCAGCACAGGCGCTGCTGGACAAGACATCTGATTTAGTGTTAGCACATCCACTCCTTCTGCTGGCACCGCACGATATTGCTGCCATCCTTAACCAGACCCAACCAAAACACCTATACTCTGCCAGACATCTGAGACTACAGATATCTCTGCTGATCCCAGGCAATGTCACCCTCCAGCGCTGCACCACTCTGAACCCTGCTACGCTTCTACTACTTTCAAGGGGGGAAGCACAAGAGGAGGGAACTGAGGAAGAAAAAGGTTCGGAACAAGAACATGAGGAGAGAACTGAGGAAGAAGCACAGGAAGGTTCGGAACAAGGACATGACTGCTTGGAAGTCATGCGCGCCGAAAACCACACACCTCCCCACAGTGAGTAAAACACCCCTGGTCGAACCGGACCTTACCCTCTTTGTTGACGGTTACTGACATGTGGACGATCTGGGTAAGTATCACACAGGCTGTGCAGTGACAACCGTGGATCAGATCCTACAGGCGGATCCCCTGCCACCTACCATGTCTGCCCAGGAAGCAGAACTTCAAGCCCTCACTGCTGCGTGCAAACTGGCAGAGGGGAAAAGAGTGAACATCTACCCAGACTCCAGATATGCCTTTGGGGTGGCACATGACTTTGGAATCATCTGGAAGATGCAAGGCTTCCTAACGGCCGCTGGAACACCGGTGAAACATGGGCCAGCCATCAAGGAATTGATGGAAGCTTTGCTCCTGCCCGAGCAGGTGGCTATTCTAAAGGTCAAAGCACATGGGAAGCTAGATTCTGAAGAAGCCCGAGGCAGTCACCTCGCGGACACCGCAGCAAAACAAGCTGCAAGGAAACAGCAGAAAGTGGATGAAGAAGTAGCAGAAACAGTCCTGGCCGTCCATATACCAACAGATGAGGCCTACCTAATCTCAAGGCAGAAAGGAGTACATACAGAAGAGAGACTGAGCTGGGGTGACAAAGGAGCAGTCTACGAGAATGAATTGTACAAAGTGAGAGGAAAAGTCTGTTTACCCAAGTACATGTACCCAGCAGTGGTGCAATGGGCCCATGGAAGTGGACACCTGTCAAAGAACTTGATGAATTCACTCATCAGCAAGTACTACTGGGCCCCTGGAATAACTACAGCGACCAAGAACTACTGCAATTCATGCACAATATGCTCCAAACGCAACCCAGGGAGGATGGAGAGAGCACCACAAAAACACCTGGCCAAACCTCTGTACCCATTTCAAAGAATACAAATAGACCATATCCAGATGCCAAAAAGTGGCCGATATGAGTATGCCTTGGTGATTGTGGACATGTTTTCAGGGTGGCCAGAGGCCTACCCTGTAACTAACATGACAGCAAGGACCACAGCAAAGAAACTCCTGTCTGAGGTAGTGTGTAGATACGGGGTTCCAGAGGTCATCAAGAGCGACCGAGGCCCCGCCTTCACAGCTACCCGGCCCAAAGAAATATGGGCTGCCCTGGGGACCACCTTAGCCTACCACACACCATACCATCCTCAGAGTAGTGGCAAGGTGGAGAAAATGAACGGCACTCTTTAGGCCAGAATGCTCAAAATGGCTCAGGAAACTGATATGAGCTGGCCAGATAGTCTGCCTATTGCCCTGTTCAGTGACAGATACACACCAAGAGGAGAACACTCTTTATCCCCTTATGAAATATTGTTTGGTTCAGCCCCCAGACTTGGTTGTTATTTTCCACAACAGTTACAGTTGCAATCTGATGTGTTAACAAATTATGTGACTGCATTATCATGTGAATTAACCCGTATCCATGCACAAGTGTTTTCTTCCATTCCAGATCCTGAGTCAGATAACGGGACTCACAGCTTGCTACCTGGAGATTGGGTGTTAGTAAAGAAATTTGTGAGAAAAAAATCCCTTGAACCCAGATATGATGGTCCCTTCCAAGTCCTGCTAACCACGGCCACATCTGTCAAGTTTTCTGGGAAGAACACTAGGATTCACGCCTCCCACTGCAAGAAAGTCCCAGCCCCTGAGGATAGGGCACCAGCTACACCATGATGTCCATGATATATATCCTTTTTCTGATGGGGTTGGTGGGAGCTTAACAAGTAGCCATCACACGAAATGACAAGTCACAGACCACGTTCTGGTACAACTCATCCACCACACATGTAGCCACATTACCCACATGTGTACATAGACGCCATAGGAGTCCCAAGGGGGGTCCCAGACGAGTTCAAGGCTCGAGACCAGGTAAAATCAGGTTTTGAGTCCTTGATTCCCATAATTACTGTCAACAAACATGCTTAATAGTACAAGACATTTAGAGATAACAGATGTGGGCATATGTGTGATGAACACTCTCATGTTATCTGTGTATAAAAGAGAGACCACCCTGAATAAAGCAGAATCGTCATAGACCTTAACCCTGTGTTTGTGATTTATCCGGTGCACCGCATACAACAAATTAGGAACAGCAGCAGATATCTTGTGTGAACCCAGTTGTGGTTCTGATCCATTTCATAAGCAATGCCTGTGATGCCTACTGCCCCTTCAGACAGGAAATTACAGGTTTTATAAAATGGTAGCGCTCCTTACAGAGACAAGGATATGTTACGTTTTTTTTTTAACGGTGTAGAGATAAGCTTAAAAGGGAACTATGGGGTAACCTTTTTATCCCATAGTTCTCTTTAGGGTCACGAGAGGACATATATTAACGTCCTCCCATGACCCAAAGTGTAGGATATAGCGGGCTATAGCTCGCAATATACTGAGAGTTCCCCAGCCGGAACGGATCCCGACAATGCTGTTGCGATCAACCGAGCTGGATGATTGACAGCGGGCTCTGCCTATCTAGATGCAAAGCCAACTGCAGGGAGATGATCAGGAAGCGAGTGATGGTATGTGTTCGCTCACTTCCCGATCTATAGAGTCGACATGTGACATCTTCTTTGTCACACGTTGTCTCTAACTATGAGGATGAGTGTAAATCATTAACCTCAAAGTTCTCCTGTAATGATTTTAAAAGATTGTTTTTAATGAAAAACAGTGCAGAAAAAGATGCAGAAAAAGATGTTACATAAAAGAGAGACAGATACTACAACAGTAACCCAAATTTTTAAAAAAGGAATACGAATGAAAGTACTAGCAAAGTTCTGGGTCCTATGGGTTCCAACAGAGTGCCGTCAATGAAGCAGGAAATGGCAAAAGTTTGGTTTTTGATGTTACATGTAAAGTTCTTTAGATGCTAAAATTAGAGCTTTTTCTTAATGGTACAAGAGCCTGTCAGCTGCCTTGTGCAGTCGTTTTTTGTGCACCCTCTAAGGCAGGAGGTTTCAAACTCAATTCACTCGGGGCCACTAGACACATTTTTTTCTTCCATGGGGGCCACTTGCCAAATGTCATACTTCAAAATAAAATGTATCTATATCTGGTATGGTACTACGGACGATAATACAGACACAATAAGGCCCTATTCATATCTGTACGTTTAGGTGCAATTAGGGATTCCTGCATCAGGAACTTCTGTTTTCCTGCAGCAGGAATGCCTAATCTGGCATTTACAAGTGGCAGCTGTCATCTATTCAAGTTAATGATCAGGTGAGAGCAGCTGCATGTGAAACTCCTGCACATCACATGTAATGGTATGTAATATGAATACATGCGGTTAGAAAACACGCTCCATGGATGCACAATCGATGTGTCTAGGGACAGTGATTGATTCATAACCACATGTAATCATATCAAATACTGCTGTCACCTGATCGTTAACTTGAATGGGTGACAGCTGCCGCTTCTAAACACCACATTAGGGATTCCTGCTGCAGGAAAATAATACATCCCCCATCCCCATAAAAAATACTACCCCTGCACATATTAAACAATACAATCCCCCCCTCCCCCTCAGAGAAGCAGCTATGCGGTCTGCATCCGACAGAGATGCAGATCGTGTAGCTGCTCCTGCAAGTCAGGTACCCAGTCTGAAACTGGGTACCTGACTTGTCAGCTGGCTGCAATCCACATAGTACTGGCTCGCAGACCACAATTGTCACGCGGGGGGATCCTTTGTGACCCCTGCTCTAGTTGGTGTCACTGAGCTAGCTCCCTACCCAATCAGAAAGGCCCAGGGGGGTGAAGCAGGAGGGCTGAAAGTTTTTATGATTTTTTAATTTGCCTCTCACAAACTGTCAGTTTCATACTAATAGCCATATTTGAATATACTCACAGATCACCACTTGTTAAACAATAGATTACAGTGTGCAATGAAATTAGCTTTGTCTAGATACCAGACTTGACATACCTGTAATGTATGCCTCCTTCAGAAGGGGTAATGTGTGTCTTAGGCTTCTGTGCCCCCCCAAAGCGGCGTTAGTCGTTATTAATGTATCACCCCCAGGTCCAAAGTTATGAATACTGAGTGAAATTTGGAACCTGATTTTATTGGCAGGGGTGATTTACAGGTCATTTGCTCGTTGTCAGTGCGGGCAATCTTTGTGGATTACTTGGGTCTGCCAAGTGTAAAAAATTTATTTTCTGGGGCCATGAAATAACAAATAGGCCTGATTAGCAGATATCCGGTGTTCTGGTTTTTACTGTGGAATTTGAAGGACTTTTGAAGACCTTCTAAAGACAGATCTATGTAATTGTTGTTATTGTTTAAGTTACTTCTGCCCCCACATGTGTGATGGTTGAGTGGGAAGTTAGATACAGAAACCTTCCTATGTATGCCTGTCAAGGAAGTGAACTTCAACTGCAAAGGAGCCTGAGCTCTGAAGGGATCCAACATGCACAGCCAGTAACTAGAAAGATAACAACCCGAAAACTGCCTTAAAGATCTAGAAAAACTGATGCCTAGTTCAGAGAATGAAATCCATTGTGCTGTGGGATATCCTGATCTCCACCTCACCCTTCTTCCCATATTGCTCTGTCCAGTAAAACCTTCTATTTTAAATCTACTACTGGCACCCATTACTCGGACCAACAGGAGAAAAGAAGCATGCCTGAGATGTTTCTGGAACTTTGCTGTAAATAAATGTACTTCAGACACTTGTAATGTAGCTACTTAGTAGCTGAATCACATAACCGTTGGGCCTCGTTCACACGAGCGGTAAGGGGGTGGTAAAACCAGGAGGCTGCAGCAAAAATATCCAGTATGTTGCAATTAGCAGGCGATATATAGAGATCCTTGCAATAGAGAATCCCCCTGGGATTAAAAGAAAATAAAAATCTTCACTCAGGAGGTGACAATATCCCCCTCATGAACGCTGGGTGGCTGCTACTCCACCACCCTCTAAAAAAGCAATTCACTGCAGATCGTTTTCAGAGGGTGGTGAATGCTGCCGCCTGTATGAATGTAATAAACACAAGAACACTGAATATAGGCACGTAGGTAAAATGATACAAAATACAAGCAACATGGCCATTTGTCAGAATTTTAGTCATGCACAGAAGAGGGCTTTAAAACATAAATTACAGATTTTTATCACTTAATCCTGTTAAACTGGTTATATGGCGCACATTATTAATTTAGATGCAGCCACACCTCATTAAAAAAACTGGAGACACGCTTGGGAAAGGAACAGCCTTCTTATACAGGGTCCACTGGGAATAGCATACAGTAAAGATGTCGTCAATCGAGAAGGATGAGGGCGAGGGCACAAAACTTCACCGAGACTCCCACCTGCTTCTCAATGATGGGCACAGCATGCCAGTGATTGCTCTGGGGACATTCACCCCTGATGTAGTAAGTAACTCTCAACTTTTCTTTCTTTTTTGTTGTTGACATTTTAGGTAGTAACGTAGCAAAAAGAGCAAAGATGTAGCCCAATCACAGATAAAATGTTAGCATAGGGCCTGTTCACATGATATCAGGTCCTGATCAGGTGCGGATCTGCAGACGCGGTGCTACTGATGCAGTGCGTTTTTGCCATGTTTTGGCCGCGTTTTTGATGCGTTCCAGTTAAAAAAAAAATAATGTTTTTTTTTTGCTTGAGTGGGACTGTCAGTATGTTAGCTGCAGTACAGTGCGTTTTTGATGCGTTTTACGTTTCCGGTCCGCTTCCTGACTGTACAAAATGTGACATGCAGTATTTTTTCTGTCGTAACCTCGCACGTGAGAACTGTAGCCCATAAAACACATAGGGATACATTGGGATGCATTTTTAGTGCAGGAGCGTACGGATCAGGTCAGCACAGAAAACGGACGTCGTGTGAACAGGCCCTGAGTGCCCATTAACACATAGTGTATGGTAATACAAGCTTTTTTCATGTGTTGATGTGTGTTCCACTGAGTGCATGTTCTCCCTGTGCTTGCATGGGTTTCCTCTAGGTACTCCGGTTTCTTCTCATACTCTAAGGCCCCGTTCCCACTGCGCGATATGCAAATCGCGCGTTTGTTGCACGATTTGTATATTGCGCGACATCGCGAGATTTGCCGCGTTCAAGCTTGCATTGAGCAAGCTTGAATCGTGGCTAAATCCGCTCCAAAAAGGGTCCTGCTGTAGCGACACACGACCCGCGACAGCAGGACCCTTTGCCCCCTTGTATTGCATTGGAGCGCGATATCGTGCGGTAATTTGCCGCGATATCGAGGGAATTACCACGCGATAAATCGCTCAATGTGAACGGGGTCTAAAGACACGCTGGAAGGTTAATTGGCTCCTGTCTAAATCGGCCCTGTATGTGTGTGTATGTATAGGGACCCTAGATTGTAAGCCCCATGAGGGCAGGGCTGTATCACACACAGGGGCGTAACTAGAAATCATAGGGCCCCATAGCAAAATTTTGTATGGGGCCCCGTGATTGCTAGTTATGCCACTTGCAGAGCCCACCTGATATAGCAAACAGCCCTCCTGAGAGTGACCCTGCAGAGCCCACCATAGACTCGCTATAGTGGGCTCTGCAGGGTCTCAGATGGGCTGCACACCTCTTACCTGTCAGCGCTGTCCGCCCCCGTAGGTCGCCGGGCCCCGCCTCCTCTTCTGTCCCCTGACCCCGCCTCCTCTTCTATCGACGGGCCCCGCCTGCTCTTAGGTCGCTGACCAGTGATGTAAGAGGAGGCGGGGTTGCTCTTAAGCACAACAACACTCACTTTATCTATGGAGGATCAGCTTTGTCTGCCTAGGACAACAAGTGCGTTAGGTCTTAAGAAAAGCATCTCCGCCTCTCCTTATTTCCATAACATAGGGTGGAGGTATTCTGCAGTCTTCAGAGATAGCTGGGAATAATGTAACTGATAACAGAACAGGCTAAAAACGCGCGAAGTTATCAGCTCACAAAATTCCTGGCAGGATCAACAGGTATGTTTTTGCACTTATCAATCAGATTTAGTGGTTAGCACTTCTGCCCCACAGTACTGGGGTCCCTGGTGTGAATCCCAGCCAAGACACTAACTGCAAGGAGTTTGCATGTTCACCTTGCATGCTTGCGTGAGTTTCTCCCAAGAATTCTGGTTTCCTTCCAGATCTTGACTTCTGTCTAAATTGTCCCAAGTATGTGTATGTATGTATGTAACATAGGGACCTTAGATTGTAAGCTCCTTGAGGGCAGGGACTAATGCGAATCTGCAGTATATAAAGCACTGTGTAAATTGTCAGCGCTATATAAATACCTGTAATACATAAAATATAACATAACACTTTCCATGGTATATTTATCAAAGCAAAAAAGCACAAATAATACAAGTTTATTGTTAGGAACTACATACACTTGGCTTGGGCCAGGACCTGTCAAATGCCTTGAAGGGAAGGTTGCGCAGAATTTGTTAGGTTAGCTAATTATACAAACTGCAAGAAACAAACACATTTCTTTTTCCTAAAAATGAATTTACATTAATTGTAGTACAAACTTTTTTCTTCTCAGCTGCCCGAGGACTTGATTGCAGAAAACAGGATGAACATCTCTGTTCTGGAGACCTCTGATGTTTTGGACCAGGTATGTTCTAAGCTATGGATCAATACAATGGAAAATATAGGACTTATTCATCAGTTCTTGGAGTCTGGGGGCGATAAGGGTGTGGAGCAGCCCCTCGTACCTCGTAGATTATAGTTTGCTTTTGCTGTGTTAGTGAAAACTGATTTCTGATTGGTTGCTCTGAGTAATGATATATTTTGTAAGTAGTTATAAACTGGGAGCCATATCGTAGAGCTTGTGAGGTGCAAATCGAATTCTTGGTGTGTCACATTTGGTAGATTTCCCTTTACTTCCTGATCCACAGACAGTGGAAGTGAGGGGAAATCTCTCCATTGGAAGATTTACCCTCTATTCCTGTTTGGGAGACATCTGTAACATCTTTAATATTTTATCACTGTCTGTCTCAGTTACACCAGGACAAATAGAATCTCCTCAGTGGTGACAAAGACAGCAATAGGTATTATATTAATTATAATTATATCTGACATCAGTTGCTCTCATTTTATATTAGACTGCCACAAATGCTGTGAAAGAAGCCGTGAAAACTTCCCTTGGCGTTGGTTACCGCCATATTGACTCTGCCTACATATATATGACTGAGAAAAACATTGGCCAGGCCTTTCAAGAAACATTTTCGGAAGGAAATCTGAAAAGAGAAGATGTCTTCTATACAACTAAGGTATCCTCATTTGCAGTCTCCAGGCAAGCAAATAAATGCATAGAGGAAACACATTAGTGTGATCTGGTTTAATTTTCAAAAGATTTGTAACTCTGTTTAGCCAGCCCCATGATGCGGGTACCGCATGCCGTTTTTTCTTTCTTGGTTTACATTTGCAGAGAGAGCGGTCCGCTTCGGCAGACCATTCTCCCTGTTTCAGCTGTGTGTTCAGCTCAGACAAGCCAAAGCATATGTGTGTTGGCTCGGCTGCCTTTGGCTGCTGTATGGGCTATTTTGAATAGCCTGTACAGCAGTCCTTCAGTCCAGCGAAACCAAAGGGCTCCGGCGGCCGAAGTGAGCCAAAGGATTAGCCGAAGCTACGGCTATATTCCTCGGCTCAATAGTGAATAATCCTCTAAATAAAATAAAAAAATGCAGCCACAACTTTTAAGCTGTGATATAATACATTTCTGCTTTTGGGTTACACTTTAACTCCTTTAGTATCATCAATAATATACACATTGCAATATGGTTATTTTGGAACATGGCGATGACTTTTATGGATCGCTATCATTTCTTTTTTTTTTAATTACAGCTATGGTGCACGTTCCACCAGCCCCATCTTGTTCGCCCGGCTATAGAAAGGTCTCTTGCTGCTCTTCAGATGGATTATGTTGATTTACTTATTATACATCACCCCATAGGCTTAAAGGTAATGTAGCATGCTTTATTGTGCATTGCGTAAAACATGTGTCTTTAGATGACACCATTGTTCCAATATCTGGACTCAAGTACAAATGTCAGTGGTTAGCATATTCGGGATTTCTAAAATGCGCTTCTTAAAGTGGACCTATCAGGAATTTTATTTCTGCATGAATAAATTCCTGACATAGTATACAAAAAAAAATTATATACAGTATATATATACGGTATATACATACATACGTATAAATCTCTACAGTTTGCAATTAAAAAACAATATTTGAAAAGTGCACCCTGGAAAAGTGATGCCATTAATCTGCTACAGGCAGAAAAAATAAGTATTTACCTCAGCTTTGCCAGTGATCACTCAAACTGTCCGCTGCAAGCCACAAGGTGAGAGGCACCTGATTTTCAATGATTATGTTATCTAACAGAAATATATTTCAGTCCAGGAAAGAAATGGATGAGGCCTGAAAAAACAGAGCCATCTTTCTGGAGAAAAACAAAGGTATTGTCAGGGGGAGTCCCATGATTCCTGTGAGATGTAATACATTCCAGGAAGTACATTACTTTAGCATCTATGTACTTAAAAGAGAACTATGGGCAGGACAGGCCGGATTTACTCTCCCTGTCGCCCCAAGGCCAGATTCTGCAATGCGCCCCTCCCCCCCGCCAACCCATCCCCCCCCCTTCCCATCAATGGAGAATGGCAACCAGATGGCGGGGTTAGTGTAAATTTTTTTTACTGTTTCTTTATTTTTTAAAAACTTTATCACTTTTTATTTGTGTATTTAATTATTTCTTCTTAGGAGTGCTGGAACTCATGTGACAGAAGGACAGCTCTCCCCTCTCACTGTCTACAGTCTACACGGAGCGGCAGGGTTACTTATACCCCTGCCACTCTGCTCACTGCAGTGAGAGACTCGGGACTCAGCGGCGGTGGCTGGAACCAAAGTGCAGGGGGGAGGGGGAGAAGGCTGCACACATCGCCGATTTCACATGTAAACGAAAAATCGGCTGCCTCACTTGTACAAAGCAGGACTAAATGTAGAGAGAGCAACTTCCCCACAAGAACACCGCTGCTGCCCCTCTGCGCCCTGCCGCCCCAAGGCCGGGCCTCGGTGGCCTTGTGGAGAATCCGGGCCTGACTATGGGGTTAGGGCTTTTCCCCATAGTTCTCCTAAGGGTAATGGGAGGACACAAACTGGCGTCCTCCCGTCACACATTTTTTTAAAATTATATATGTGAAATAAATTAGTCCAACACTAACTGCTTTGCATCTGAGAGGTCAAAGATGAAGAAATGCAATGTTGAAAAAATATTCTGCTTAATATTGTATTATAAATAAAGTAACCTACACTTACTACACAAGTCTGTTCATGCTTGTCATGTTTGTCTTTAAAGCCAGGAGACAACCTCTTCCCAAGTGACGAGAAAGGCGCTCCTTTGTTGGACAGTGTTGACTACCCACAGGTCTGGGAGGTAAGTACATTTGCCATTAGAAAATTCTGAATCATCATAAGACCTGATTAGAACTAGAGAAAGACACTTGAATACAATATCTAGCCCCATTAATACCATTTGTTCGGCAGCACGTCCTCCAAGAACCAAGAATTTCCCTTTAGCGGTTAAAGTGTATGTAAAGTGCAACATTTTTTTTAAGTAGGGAGGGGTTAAGCCAGTGTCAGTTTATTGTTTGCTGTCTGTTTCCCATTAGTGAGATTTTCCTACCCTTAGTCTGAAGTGAAGACACAACAGGAAGTGAGAGTGACATTTCTACAAAATGGGGCAAATTTCACTCTTAGACAATTGTCGCTGGGACAGGTGTCCCTGCTGGAAGATTTTCCCTCACCTCCTGTTCTAGTAACGACTTTCAAATTTTGGATTTCTTGTTACTTTTGTCTCTGTAACAATGGAGACCAGGACAAACAGAGGAGTAAATCTTACCAAGGGGAACACAGACACCAATAACAACCTTGCAAGAGTTTGAGTTTTTCCACATTCTACGAAAACAAAATTGTAACTTTTTAAACACATTTCAAACTCAATGAGCTCAGCAACACTGAGGGTGTCTGCCTCGAAATTCGTAATTTTGTCTCAAAATTAATTTCTCTAATATCACTTTCATCACCTATATTCCCCACATGAGTGGATGTTTGAAGTGAACAAAGGTTCATTCACCTCAATTTACTCTTTGGTAACTGGGGGTGATAATATTCTGTTGACAACATATATTGTGAGGATAAAATGTTTGTGTCTTTTGTATATGAAGTTGTGGATGGAAGTTACCCAGCTACAAGAGGCGAATTAAAACTTTTAACTGTCATTTGGTCTAGGCGATGGAGCAATGTAAAGATGCCGGACTTGTTAAATCCATCGGAGTGTCCAACTTTAACCGCCAACAGATGGAGCTGATCCTTAATAAACCGGACCTGAAATACAAACCCGTCTGCAATCAGGTAGATTATATTGTATTTATTCCAAAGAGCTACTCAGCAATTTTCTAAATTAAAGTGACTCTAAACTCAGGAGTTAAATCTTAAAAATACATTCAAGTACCCTATTAACAACAATTTATGTTATTTGTGTATCACTCGGCTGTAGATCCTCAAATCATCTCTGAATTGGTGCTGACACTGTCCTTCCTTCTGGACGGTGGCTACTTTTGTTCCCCATGGTCCCTGTGTGTGTTGTAAAGTAGTCACCGCTCCAAGCTCACTCCCATGAAGGACTACAATCTCATGTTTATTTTACTTATTTGTATTGAGATTGTAGTCCATCACGAGAGCAAGCTTGGAGCGGTGACTACTTTACAACAGAATTAAACTTTATAACAGTTTATGAGAACAGATTTTATGTTACTATGTAATACCGGGAAATCCAACATGTTTCCAAATGTTATCAGAACATGCTCTTCCAATGGGGACACCTGTTGTGGTAAAGCCGTCTAAAAGGGTTATTTCCTTACTCATCAGAGATTGGGTCTTGCTACCTGTTTTGTCTCCTGGACAGGAAGTGAAGGGAAGAATTCCTAGTGGGGCATGCACAGCATAGTCAAACTTGACAGGGGTTTAACCATTCCCAACCCCCAAAAAAGTATTAAAAAAACATACACTTTGAAGTGAAATTGCAGCTGATATGACCACTGCCATAAAGCAATAGTGTTTCTGATCCTTCCCCACCCTAGCCAAAGCTAGAAGGAAAGGTTTTGGCTAAAGTTCCACTTTAACCCATAGAGCAGACAGTAGATTGATAATATGAGGTGTCTCTATAGGGTGTGAAGTTCATTTATCAAAGTTTTTACTGACAGGTGGAATGTCATCCATACCTCAATCAGAATACAGTGTTGGAGTTTTGTAAATCAAATGATATCGTTCTCGTGGCCTATGGGGTACTGGGATCACCCACTGGGGCGTCTTGGTAAGATCAGTTACTATATTTTTTTTGCAAAAGTTTAACTAAGCTTTATAAAGGTTTTAAAGCAGTATTAAACTCTCAAACGTTTTTCAATAAAGAATCCATTTCAAACATACATAGCCCAGCAAAGTATTTTTGACCAGGCACTTACAGTTATCATGTTTCCAAACAGCTCCAACTCTCTCAGCCCGGCTTCCCTGAACTTCCTGTCCAGTACAAGATCACGAGGGACAGAGCAGTCTGCAACAGCTGTCCATCTACTAGTTTGGAGGAGGGAGGAAGGCGGAGCTGGGAGGAGAGGAGTGTCATGCCTTGCTGTGCCTGAATGTTTGTAGAGACACACAGCTTACTAGCACACACAAGCGTTGATCCATAGGACCCTGCAAGAGAAAGGAGCCACCCTAAAACAGGATATCAGGGCCAGTGTTCAAGGGGACCAGCTGATACTACAGGAAACTAAAACTTTTAAGCATCAAAGAGCAGCATCCATTGTAAGTAATTTAATCAGCATTCGAATAGCTTAGAATATCACTTTAATGCTCCAATAGAGATTCCAGGTATAGAAGCAGTCTAATGAGATCAACAGACCAAGGAACTACGAGTCTAAAAAAGTCTTTATCAATGGTTTTATTTCATACAAGCTGACATTAAAAACAACCAATGCGTTTCAGGGGCTCAGATATCTCCCATTTTTTCAGGGCTCAAATATTATTATATGTAGTTAGGCGTGGCCGGAATGCAGGCATTGATTTGCCACACGTTCCGGTGCTGGCAATTGCACTGTGGACGGGGGTGTGCCGGCTGTGCCATTGATTTCAACGCCACACCCCCTCCCACCCCAGAACTCAATGAGCTGGCCAGGATGCGATCCAGTGCGTTCCAGCAACAAATCGGGCTGGAACGCATTAGGGCTGGTTTGAAAGCTCGTACGATCTGCCCATCTTGGACAGGCAGATCGTACTTGTGAGAACTGAGAGATATGGTTGCTGCATGCTTACGTGCCAAGGATTTGTGGGGTACTGGGGTGCACTGGTAATAAAATGTGATTGCAGTGAACTGAATCATTATTATGTGACTCCGGCTTCCTGGGGTTTTTTTTTTTAATCAAGCTCATAGGTACACTTAAAGAAAATCGTGGTGACATTATAACAAGATTGCTGGGTATAGCAAGGAAATTGATTGCCTTTAGATGGTTGTCTCCTAGGCCACCCACATTAGAGGAGTGGTGTATTCAGGTTAAAGGAGAACTATGGGGTCAGGGCTTTTCCCCATAGTTCTCCTAGGGGTAACGGGAGGACACAAACTAGCGTCCTCCTGTCACCCTAAGCTCAGTATACCGCGAGCGACAGGTCGCGGTATACTGAGACGCCGCACCCGGGACGGATCTGGACAATTATGTATGGAGCCGCCCAGCTGCGTGAGTGACAGCTGGCTCTACTTTTTAACTAGTGGAAATGGTCATAGACAATGAGTATGTGATTTCTATGTAGGTTGGATCCAGACTGCCCCAGTCTACTGGAAGATCCCGTCCTGATTTCAATTGGTGAGAAATACAAAAAGAGCCCAGCGCAGGTGTCTATCCGATACATACTTCAGAGGGGATGCGTTGCTATCGTCAAGAGTTTCAAGCCCGAACGCATGAAGCAAAATCTTCAGGTAATGCAGCAAGTGGGAATCCACCTATTTGAATTGTTGTTTAGTTTGCGTAGAGTGTTAAAATTCCTGCCACCCGCCCACATGACCCAAGGAGATGCAATCACCTCAGGCTGCCTCATTATAGGAACAGCCCTGTATAGCTCACATCCATAACCTTTTAATTTAATGATGTCAATAATCCAATTGCTGTTTATTACTTAGTTCTTTCTACTATCTTATCAAGAAAGAGGGTCTCAACTGGTTAGCATCACTTGTCTGGTGTTTTAAAGAAGATGTTATCTGCTGGTGAAATATACATTGCTCGTCCAGTTCTCCTCACGATTAACCACTTTGGACCCATTGGGGCATTAGGGTTACCAATTATCCACATACTGTGCCTCCGCATACTCCATCACCATATTAAGCCCTTAGCTATGCTTACCACTAGCCCATGATGCATCTCTTCTCTCTGCTGCTCCTCTCCTCATTCAGCCACCGACTGCTCTGCCGTCAGCCACTATATCCCCCACCATTCACTTTCAGCCTGCCACCACTGGTGGTCTCAAAAACTGTATATTGTCTCACATTGCAACATTTTACCTGCACTGCAGAATGTCACAAGGTATATGTCAACACATTGCACAGTGTATTAAATACAATTTGAGTAAATTATTACTTTACACCTGCTATTGTATTTTATGTTCTGGTTTGTAGATGGGATTGTGGTTAGTTTCCATGCTAAAGAGCTGCAAAGTTTCAAAATATGAAACCTTCTGTAATCTTTACACCCTGCCAGGTCTTTGACTTCCAGCTCAGTGAAGAAGACATGAAAGCCATTGATGGGCTAAACAAAAACCTCCGCTACTGGAAATACAAAGTGTGAGTAGTTGAGCCAAATGACATCTGCGAGCTTTTAAAGTACAACTGAAGCAAAAATGTTTTTTCCGTTTTGGATAGAGCAAAGAGGGATTAGAATACCTGTCAGGTTTTTATTGCTGTTTGGAAAGTTTACCCTCTTGGTTTGTCCTGGTGACTGTTGTCACTAAAAGTGAAAGAAAGAGGAAGTCACAAATATTGGATTGTCATCAGAACAGGAATAGATGGAAAATCTTCCAATGGGAACACTTGTTCTGGTGACATTACTGACCACTAGGATGTTCCATCTCAACCACTGATTTATGTATTAGAACATACCTCCTGAGACTAGGATAGTATGACAATCTACTGAGGTGGTGGTATCCATAGGCATTTTTGCCAATAAAACTGATCCAACTAGAGAGAAAGATCCAAACTGTATAAAAAAGTTTTATTTTCTAAGATGCCACATCCACTGGATTTAAGCACATGGAGATGGGTGCCTGCTAGGCCCATCCTGTTTTAATAGTTGGCAATGGCTATGGGTAGGAACCTGCAGGGTAGTTTCTGCCCGCCTTTAAAATTGTGTTCAAAGTATCCTCAATGCCCCAGAGTTTTAAAGGACAATTTTTCTTTTACTGAAGTTTTGCTTTAAGTGTTTTCTCCACCCCTATGAGTGGCAGCCACCTACCTAATTACTTTCCTCCATTCCTGGGTTCTTCAATGTGTGACCCTGCCTGGTGCCACACAGCCTTTGCAGATAAATTCCAGGCCACATCCAGCTCCCACTGTGCATTCATTTTTCTTGTTGGATCTGTACTACTCTGGATGGCTGGGGGCCACATTAATATGGACCATCCATAGAAATTAGTGAGATGAGCCGTGTTCATGTAAAAAGGGAGTGCTTTGCGTGGCACTGGGCATGGGTGCACAGTGAGCATCTCCAGATTCTTTTTTTTCTGATATTTCTGTTATAGGTGGGAAAATCACCCAAATTACCATTATGACAAAGTGGAATAAATATGGAACGGTGCACAAAACCAGTGCCAGTACTCAAAGGACATCTCTTGGTTGACAATGCATTGTCAAGGTTCCTTCTACAAATAAAACATTGTACTAAATAAATATAACATAATTTAAAGAATTGTATGTCATGTATTAATATGAAGTGCTGTTTATAGATATATTGGTTGGATCAGTTATATTTTTTTCTATTTGTAATGTACAAACATTATAGTAGATCAAAACCATACCAATAAATTCTCACATAAACTTCTTAACTGCATTTAAAAAGTTGTTTTCAGTCTTTTTAAATCTGCAGCTTTAATTGATAGAATGCCTAGTGGCCCTGCCATGATGATCCTTGTTCAGGCACTTCCTGTTATAGGGGGACAATGCTCTGTTCTTGTCTCCCAATTATACTCCTGCAAGGTCGCCCTGCCACATGGGTTTCAAATGTACACTATGCGTGGCTGTTTCTGTTAATATGCATTACACAGGCAGGGTTGTGACCATCAGGAAACTTGACCTTAGAAATGCCATGCAGCCATTGCTGAAAAGTAGCTTAAGGAGATCAGACTGAGATACAGCAACAAATGAAAAAGGTGAAAACAAATATCTTATGAATACAAATTGGATATAAAACACAACGCTTTAAATTAGTAAATGTTATTTGGTCAGGGTTTAGAATAAGCATTGAAATACGATTAACCATGTTAAAATTTTCATTACAACATACATTAACACACACTGGTACACAACAAGTGAAAATGAACAAACAGCTGAAACATGTCCGAACTCTAACCCCTATCCCAGCGGTCGCCAACCTTTCGGGCCTCATGGACCACTAAATTCATAATTTTAAATCCCACGGACCACTAATATTTGGTTTCCTCATATATAACGGAAAATTGTATACTTACCTATCGGTAATTTTCCTTTCCTGATGCCAGTACATGGCAGCATACATGAATATATCTATATATATATATATACATACATACAGTATATATACACATACATACATAGGTGCTGGTGTGCCTGCAGGAGTGACAGTGCTGGTGGAGGGAGGAAGCGGTGCCACCTTCCCCAGTAATAATATTAATTGTTTCCCCCCATAGCTTCAGGACTGCCTCCAACCACTCCCGTGCCTCCCCTTCCCTCAAACTGAGCCACTATTACCTGGTTTCTCCTCACTTTTTCTATGTCCCGCAGCCTGCTTAGTCCAGGTACTGACGAGATGCCCCGCCTCCTGCAGAGCCCACACTGTACTGAGAGCCGCGCATTCCTTGTGGCAGCCCTGGAGCCTCTATGCCACTTCAATGATGGCCCAGCATGCACGGCATCAGAGGAACCACCAAAATTTTCTCGTGGACCACCAGTGGGTCCACGGACCACCGGTTGGCGAACGCTGCCCTAACCCTCCTGGAACCCACAGGACTGTCCCTGTATTTTAACAAAATTTCTCTCCATGCCTTAAAGGGTCCATGTCCTGGAGTGAAGCATTCCAGTGTGATGGAATGCTTGTCCAGCACTCACCTCCGGATCTGCAGGCACTGCCAAGTGAATATATCTCTTGCCTCAAAGTGTCTGCATAGCTCTGTAGGTGACTTTACCAATGACACAGCGGCAAAGGACACAGGTAAAGCATTCTGCTGACCACTAATGCCTAGGAAGGTGGAGGGAAGGGGGATTTTTTTTATTTACCACCAGTGCCTGGGGGAGGGGGATATTCTACTGACCAGCAATGCTAATGAAGGGCAAATTATATCAATGACCACCAAGTCCTGGGGCAGGGCGATATTCCACTGAACACAAACGCCTAGTAGGGGGGGGAAATTTCCACTGACCAACAATCCATAGGAATGGGGGGTTCTTCCTTTGGCCAACAATACCTGGGAACTGTGTGCTGGGAGAAATCTTTGACTGACCACCCTTCCCAGATATGACAGCTCTTCATTAAGGGGCCACCAGCCCTTGCTACACACATACTCTTGACCACAGTGTTTATCATCTCCTATGTAGTGCAGAAAAATGCATCTATAATGAAAGAGTCTTATTAAGGAAAACACAATCCTTTGTCCGAAGGTTTATGTGTGTCTGTAAGACTCTTACTTGCGGTACTGTAACAAAGGTGTATTTTGTGGGTACAAGGACTGTATGCCAAACTTCCTACCACTCCCTTGCCACTGTAAAGTTTTGACCTTCACCCTCTTAAATCTTTTCTTTTTGAGTAGTAGATTAAGTTACATTAACATAAGTTAACTTTAACAAATATGAGTAGATCAACCTTTACACCGCCGTTTATCAAATGCTGTTGATTAGTACAATGTTTGGTTTTTATTTAGCCACACCTCAGGCAGGAAAGGCAAGACACAAGCAGGTTGAGACACAGAAAAGCAGGAAGGGAAAGGAGAGAAAGGAAAAGAGAGACACACAGAAACAAGAGACAGGCGACAGCAAGAGAGACAGACAGAGGAAGAAGACAGGTGAGAGCGAGACAGACACAAGCGAGAGGAGAGTGAAGCACTGAGAGAGACTTAAAGTTAGATCTTTGAGAATTAGGAACACACAAGATGTCAGCCTGTACAAAGAAAAGTAAAGACATTGAGCGTTGCATTGTCCTCAATGATGGGCACAAAATGCCAGTGATAGCATTGGGGACATTAGCCCCTAGCATGGTAAGTAATATTATTTTCTTTACCAGTTTTTCCAAACGGGTGGCTGATTGATAACACCCGGCTTATCAACCTTTCTATTCGGCAGAGCAAAGCGTATTGGTTTTTTGAGTGTGATCCTATTTGTTTCAGACATCCCAACCTGCAAAACCTTATTTCAGGGAGGTTCCCGTCTCATTTCAGGGAGGTTCCCGTCTCATTTCAGGGAGGTGCCCTTTCTGTTGTTTGTTTGGTTTTTTTACAGCGGCCGTCGTCAGAATATAAAGGAAATAATAATAATAATAATATATATATATATACACACACACTAAAATAAAATCCATATACCAATAATATTATATATTTATTTATATATACATCAGATTTGTGAATTGATGTTCAAGTATCTGTCAGTGTAAGGCCCCATTCACACTGAGCGATTCGCAAATTGCGCGTTTGTCACGCGATTTGCATTTTTGCGCGATATCGCGCAAATGCTTGCATTGAGCAAGCTAGAATCGCGGCAAAATC